CGGAAGAGAAAGGGACCTGGGGGCGGCTCTGGCTCCTGCGAGATGTCAGTGGAGGCCACCTTGTGCCTGCCCCCCTCCGTCTGGGAGAGGCTCTTGGGCTCACTCACCCAGGCAAGCAGAGAAAGGCGGAGGTAGCCACAGAATACTTACTCCTACAAGCCCGCAGGTGGGGTGCTGGGCTGCTTGCTGGTCACAAAGCCTGGGCCCCTCACCCGGGTTTCTGGGGCAAACAAACAAAGCTTTTTTTGGCTGCAAAAGCTAATGGTGCAGTGCCGGCTGCGCGCCAGGTACCAAGTGCTCTTTACCATCTGAGACATGGCTATAGGCTGCAAACTACAAAAAAAAAACACCACCAAACAAAAAAAACCCCAACCCACAGAAAACCCAAAGGTTTGAAGGAGTAGCTGTCTTTCTGTAACATATTTGGTTCTGCCCTGTGGCTCCACCACACCAACACTGATGAAGAGCCTGGAGTGAGTCACGCATATATGTAATCCACAAAGCTTAGCGAGAATTATTGAGACCAAGTCCATAAGTCTTGCATACTTTCACCTTCCTTTCTGTTCTCCATTTCTCAAATTTTCTGCTTCTTTAGTCTTTGACTTGTGAAAAATTTGTTTTGCAACTGGGGGGAAAAAAAAAAAAAAACCCAAACCAAACTTATTAAGCTACCGCTAAGCTCCTCTCTTCTAGCAAAAAAAAATTAGTTCTAGATCATTCAAATAAGAAACTTGTCATATCATTTCCCTGCTGGCACTAAAAGCATTTAAGAGGACTCGCTGCATGACTTGTCTGCCAATACATTCTCACATCTACTTTTCGTCGAACACAGCTGAAAAATTCCTTCCCACATGTGCCTCTGCGCTGCTGATGCTTATCCTACCACACCGACTCAGTGCTGCACAAACGCCTTCACCTCGTTTGCTTCCATAGCATTCAAGCCGTGTTCGGCACCCTGCAGCACACAGCTCAGCCCCGTCACGCGCTCCGGGGGCATTTACTGCTGGTGCCTTGGCCCACAGTGTCTGGCCAAGCGCTCCCACACCTTATCTGTGGCACATACGCCAAGCAAAGACACGAGCACAGCCAGGCACCAGGGCTCACTTGCCCACAACTCGCCAAGCCGCAGGCCCCGAGCCCTCGTTCAGTTCACCAAACAGCTCAGGTAACAGACCATGACCACTCCTACTACGCCGGCAGCAAAGCGTGTCCCAGGAGACCCCCCCACGCCGCTCCTGTGCAATAGCGCCATTGCCCTACAAGACATCAGAACCTTTGCTGACACTGCTATGGAAGGAGAAGCCATTATTTAACACCAATATTTAGTATTATTTAAGCACCAGGTTTCTCTCTGGCAGGGAACTGACAAAGAATGGCTGTGGTCACACATTTATCTACCAGCATATACTTCTACATTTAAACTTCTGGGTGTTTTGACTGAGTTCGTTCACATTTCAACAAAAGGCAATCTGTTAAATTAGTTAAGTGGAACT